CACGGCGCAGTGGAGGAGGAGTTATGTTACCAATAGAGCAAAAAGCAGTGATCATCTGTCCGAATGGTCAATTAACTGAGTTCGCAATTAACTCCACTATATAATCCCTGCTGTATGTGGACACAGTAACCTATGAGAACAGCACATTTTAAACAGGGCGTGCATGAGGGGAAATTGGCTTGTGCATGTTCTTGCATGACGCGCATTTTTTTTTTAAGTGAAGAGGGCAGGTCTTCTAAAAAATTATCCACAATACCTTTAAGTATTAACATATTTTTCATCATTTTACTTGATTAATATTTATTTTATTCTGTCCCCATACATAAACCGTAGTTACTAGAGGTGAAACTTTAACCCTTTGAAAATATCTACTTTCCTGATGTGGAGATGAAGTTTATCTTATCTCAATGTTGTCTCATTATTTTTTGAATAATGTGCTCACTGCATAGACTCTTTAGGTTCTGGATCAGCCACATATTTTACATTTTACGATACTGACTAACAGTCCTCTTCATTACTCCTCATTATTGTTCACTTTAGGAGCTATCTTAAGCCCTGAGGCCTTTTTTGAGTAGATTTTCTAAGAATATTTTTTTTGCTTATTTTTCTTGGAATAAAATGACAAGAAGCTACTTTTATTCTTGGTGTTCTCTGAGAATTTGAACCCTGGCCCAGTACACCAGGTCTGCCTATAGGTATGGACCCAAGTTCAAGCAAACATTGAGATTGTTTAAGAAAAAAAAATGTTTTACCATGCACCATTTTTTTTAATCTTTTTTAATTTATTTTTTTATAAAACAATTTTTTTTTTTTACAAATTTGAGGAGGATTTAATTATATTTTATCTAATTTATGTAATTATTCTGGCATTTAGCAAATATGAGTGGTAATCATAAATAATATTGGACATAATCTGTTCATTCTGACTCAAACTTCATGTAGAAACAAAATAAATGGCTTTTCACTGTTTTATTTCAGCTACATATATCTTTCCTGCACAAAGTGTGACACCTCAGTGCAGGGAGAAACACGGTGACACCTTCTGGCCAACTTTATTCCTGGTTGTCGGCCTTTAATTCAAACACTGCTGGGTTGCAGCAACAGCCTGTGGAAGACCCTCCTTCCCAAAACTCTTTTACAGCTTCAGGTGTGGCTCACACATACTCTTCATATGCGTCCACGCGTGTAATCTAAATCTGCTGAATCCAAGCAGGGGAGTAACAGTCTGTGGAGACCGAGGCCCCAGAGCAACAACAGCAGCATGTCCACTAACGCAGCTCTGGCTGTGGGACTGGGACTTGGAGCCGTCCTCCTGACTCTTGACCCAGGTGCTTTCCACCTGGAGTGGGAGTTTCCGTGGCTGCGTGGCGCAGCAGAGCGGATCGCTCTCTGCATCGCTGCCGGAGCCACAGTCCTCGCCTTAGGCTGGCTGTACCGACTGCTCTTCTGCCCCCTGGAACTGCTCCGGACCCCGGATGAGGTGGGATACATCGCTGAGGACGGGCGCACCAAGGCGCAGGCTGCGAACGAGGCGCGCAGCAGAAGGAGAGTCGGAGAGCTTCCCCCGGTTTACCCCAACGGCTGGTACCGGGTTCTGGACTCCCACATGCTGGCCAGGGGAGAGGTCAAAAATGTATATATTCTAGGTATGGCGCAAGCTTTAAGGCCGCGGTCACCCCCCCCCCCCCCCCCTTTTTTTTTTTAATTAATGACAAAAAATATTGGAAAAAATTTTTTCATAACAATCTTTTCGCATAGGTCCATAATGAAAAGCAACTCAGATGGTTTGTCTGTGCTATTCAATGTTCCTCAGTCTGTTTCTGATTTTAAAAGCTTTAAACATGAACTGACTTAAGGAGATATGGCCCCTAGGCACAAGCCATGTTGGCCCCCACTTCACACATACACACATAATATGTCAGTGATCCCCAAAGTGTGTATGTGTGTCTGTATTTGTTTATTTTTACCTAATTAGGCAAGTTTTTGGTATACAGTATTTACTAACTTTCCGAGGACCAACAGGCCTTGTGGGGACCATAGATGGTGTCCCCTCATTGTTATGTTTATGAGTCAATTTACTGGTATGATGTGATTTCACTTTAGGTTAAGGTTTGGAAAATACTGATAATGGTTGGGGTTACTGTCAGGGTTAGGCATAAATGCAATAACTACAATTAATGTAAGCCAAAGTCTTAATATGGATAGAAATACAAACTTGTGTGTGTTTGCTGCACTTTTAGAAAAAGAGTGAGGACCAGTTTCAGTTTTTAACCTCTGAGTGAGGACATTTTTAGAAAGTGGGGACATTTTCGCAGGTCCTCACCAGGGGCGGATATAGAAGGAGGGCAAGGGGTTGCCATGGCCACTTCTAAACACTCAGTTGTGTTCCTAATAAAACATATTTTAAAACCCATAGAATAAGGAATTCACCTCCAAAACAGAGGGTGACAGCGGTGATATTCTCAGGTGCAATGTTCTAACTTACTTGCTTTTAGTAGATTCAAAATAAGCTGACAACATAATTTAAATAACAGTTACATCACAAAGGGAGAAATAAATTAACTATTTACATAAAAACACAAAAGTTAAAAAAGAAATAAACAGAATTCACACTCTTAAGAATTGGGATTTGTGCTTTATGGAGAGGAAGGGAACGTTTTGTGTCTATACAATTATTAAGTAGTATATAAATAAATTCTATAAATTAAGCAATACAAATGCACTGCCTAACCTATTCAATGTGCATATTATTTAGAACCATAACCAATTTAGACAACGTACATGTATAAATATCTGTCTAGATATATTAGTGAGCACTTTATGAATATCTAGTCTTTCCTTTGATTTGCGTGGTAAAAATGTGAGAGGTTTATTTGTTAGTTTGTTTGTGTGTTTCTAAATGGTTTAATAGCAATATTGGATTTTGTCACACAGTTAAACAAACAGGTAAGCTTCAAATAAAAATGTAAAAATGACTGAAGCTTATTTTATAATATTATTTAATGTATTGCAGTTAACTTTTCTTTGTTTAACTTTTGAAAAGTTGGTGTTGAATGGGGTATTGGGGGAGTTGTTAAAATTTTGTGTAAACCAAAGGGAAGGATGGGGGACAACCTTAATAGGTTGGTTTATGTAGGTAACTCCAAACTATTAAATGCATTAATTTGAGTTTACATGAAAAATTATGCAAAATTTTTCCCTAATTTTTTCCTTTTTATCCTTAAAAAACTTAAGTATGTGCAAGTTGTGCACCTTGACATCGCACAACTCAATTAACTTCATAATTGCATAACCTGTTAGCGATGTAAGCTTTTTTTTAGAGAACTTATATATTTGCAAGGAGCATAGTTTTTAGATATCAAATGGTCCTTAATTTTTCAATATTTTGTCATTAAAATAATCTTGCAGTTTGAAAACATAATTAATTGCCATTTAAAAGTGAATGAACACATGGCAAAGGATACTCGGTGAAGAAGCGTTGCTCCTCACTTTTTGTAATAAACAAGTCATTATATTCTACCCCTACAGGTAATCTCCACAAATTAACATTAAATAGATGCCAATAATTGTAACATCAATCTAGCTCATAGTGTTGTCTGGTCACACCAAGAAAGAATTTAGTCCCCACTACTTTCAAATGCTCTTATGCACAGACTCAACTTAAATATTTTTACTTATCAAGGATTTTTATACAGCACTTTACAGCAGTCATTTAACATTAAAAAAAGCTGACACGAAATGAGCACAGCTTGCTTAAAGGGATCTGTATCATGCAAAAACAATCATTTAATTATAAATGAGATTCTATAATAATCATTAGCAACAATATGCCTAACTTTCTCTGATTATCCAGCGTTGCTGTGAGGCAGATCATTTCTACTCAAAGTTTTAACTAGGTGGCTCTTTTAACACCTAATCTGTCCAGTGACAGCAATTGTTTATTTTTTTTTTAAAGCTAATGTCTAAGTCATATTTTTATGTTATGAATACCTTTTAGTGCCAAAGGAAATACTTTTAACATACCCATGCCTACAGTTGACTTTGAAGTTGTAGAAAAGCCTGATATAGAACCTTGGAGTCTTTTATTAGAAAATCCATTTATTTTCCCTGAATGGCGAAATTATTGAAGCGAATGTTACATTCTACAGTGTACACATCAAATTCAGAGTCTACTGGGGCTTATCAGTAAATAAGAATATGACTGAAAGTTTA